CGAAGAGTACTTGATGTAACATTAGAACGATACTGAGTCATACGGTAAAAATAGGAATATAGGATGAAGGAAAATTAATGATCATCCTCCATTGAACATTTGATTTCCCTTAATCTAATAATTTTATTAAAATACCAACAAGTTTCATTTTTATAAACCGTGGATGAATTAAGTGAGTGGTACTAGCACATTGCGGGAATTTGGCTCAGGACAGGACAGGACGCATACTATTTATTTATTTATTTTATGGCTAGCCAGGAGAAATACATTGAAAATCAAGAAAAAGACGAAAAAATCGTAAAAGTAATGTACAATATAGAACTTCACCTCGGAGTAACGAATTAATCGAAACAACAGGTCCTAATTAGTATTAAATATGGAACTGTCAAGGGAAAAACCAACCCTAAACAGTAAAGAGAACCCAATGAAATAAAAAAAACTAATACTAATTATCGGTGAACTATACCATAAAATTAAAAGAACCATGAGGAAAAGAAAAAATTGAAACCTCCGCAGTTAAACAATTACGTAATTGTTGAAAAATAAACCCGCTACGTAAAAAATTGGAAGAGGCTAAAATAATAAAAAGAAGATCTACCCTATTATAATAATTACGAAAAGAATCCATTTGTGGACAAGTATAACCACGATAAGAGTTTCGAGAGCTTCGCGAGCTAATGCCACGATTGGTGCGGTCCTGAGAATACCGTTTAAAAGAACTTTTGTAATATTATGTTGTCTTTTCCATTGTTTCCACGCCTGGAAGCGAACATTCCAAACATGTGATTTGATACGATCGGTAGATAGAGCCATGAATTTTAATACGGCTTTAGCAGCAGATTTGTGGTGATTAAAATGTATCCGAAAAGATTTATATAAATCTTCGGTAACATAAGATCGTAAAAGTAAGAGTGCATCATCAGACATAGGAAGGTCTGTATTGAAGGCCCAGCAGAACGTTGAAGAGTATTTGATAGAGTCTGTAATACAAAGGTTTAATTTGTCTGCGTCTTTATTAAGGATGTCTTGCGCAATTTGAGAAAGACTGATAAAACAGGTTCTAATATATGGCATTAAAGCATAACATTTCCATATGTGTTCATTTGTCTCAATAGTAGTTCGACATCACAAGCAAGTAGTTTCATTGTTGATCAAGGTCGGGTAATTACGTTGTAAGATATCTAATGTAGGTAGAGTATTAATTTTCCAACTGGTGTTTTTCGAGTGGGTGCTGCTGGTTGAATCATTATAATTGTTGTGATTGAAAAACCGGGAAGATAACTCCCAGTTAATAACGTGATTTTTAGTAAAATCAAGAATATCTGTTAGATCCTGATGATTCAGATGATTATCTATTCTCTTATAGTCAATGATTTTTCCAACACATTTTCGAATATTTGTGTCCAAAGGAATAGTGTTATCCCAAGAAATAGTGACCGTCTGAGACGGGATATGGTCGTGGCTGATCGAAGTCGGAAAGGCCAGTAATCTACCTTCTTTTGCAAGTACGTCAGCTCTATCATTATAAGGTTGTTGGAATGTGCCCTTATTTTCTTTAGATCCACTTTTAGATTAAGTTTTTGAATATTGTGATGAAGCGCCGCCCAAAGTATGGTGTTATTAATTTTATTAAAACGACGTGGCGAAATGTATCGGAGTTGTGAAGATTTGTTGAAACAAGTGCTCCGAATGATACGAGTCAACCCGGGTTAATTTGACCTGACTCGACTTTAAATCGGGTCGGTACTAACGATTTTTAATGACCCGTGACCCGCATGACCCGCATGACCCGCATGACCTGACCCGCCGGGTCGGGTTATAAATTTCCTTGACCCGGGTTTGACCCGGATCGACCCGAATGTTTTTAATTCTGGGAAAATTATAATTTTGGCCAAAATTAAGCCAAGAATTAGTTTTAACAAATATTAACATAGCTTAATCAGAAAAATAAAAAAATTAACCTTTGGCTTTTGAGAATAATATTTTTCTGATAGCTTTAGAATTCCAATTTATCTTTGATTTGAATATCTGCTAATTATTTTGCCTAATTCTTTGACTTTTATTATATTAAACTAGGTTCAAAATTCGTATTTTTAATTTTATTTTATTTAATTAGTCTAGGAGAAAATAAGAGCTAGTGTTACATGTTTTGTATAACCATTCATGATACAAATTTCAGGTGGCTACTAGTGGTTAATCACTAAGTTGCCTTTTTTTCAAATAAAAAAAATTAATTTTGTTATTATTATAAGAAAATCTCACATAATATAAGTTAGTACCCATTTTACTTAAATGTTCGGGTCTAACCCTGGTTACACTAGTTAAATTATATTCGGTCGAGTCAAGGGTCGGGTTACGAAAATATGAGACCCGAATAAATACGAGTCTTATATTTTTTTATTCAGATCGGGTCGAATATTTCCTCAAAACCCGACCCGACTTGACCCGGTAGGAGCACTAGTTGAAACCATCAATTGCAGCTTGAGAATCTGTAAAAATGGTAATAGAACTATAACTGGGAGCTATAATAAGAGCAGTAACTATAGCTAGTATTTCAGCTTTTGTAGCTGAAGGCATTAATGTTCCAGTGCCGTTGAAAAAAATTTTTTGTTCAAAACTATTTGAGACACACTATCCATATCCCATTGGAAATTCGTTCGCACTTGCAGAGCTCTTAAATGAGCCATCGGTATATATTTCTAAAGTATTAAGGTTAAATGCCTTTCGTGCGCATTGCCATAATTGGATTTGAACGGGTTTCTCTTTAATGAGGGAAGTGATTAATTGGAAATTAACATTACCATAATCAGCGTTTGTAAATCTGTTGAGATGTTAGAACTCAGAGGTAAGATATTTTTTCTTGCAAGGTAATCATTGTAAGCAAGGATTCTGTAATGTTCGTGATTTTTTTTGGTAATGACCGCCTTCTTGTATGAGTACTATTGGAATTGCGTTGGGTGTTTCTAAAGGTTAAAGCATGGAACCGAATTATTGTAGTTTCAAAATACATTTGGCTTGACAATCTCCAACAAAATAAGGGAAATGAAGATTACATCCTGAACAAGGCTGTAAAATATTTGAGCGCGAACGAGGAGTTAGTTGACTTTGAGTATCAGGGACATGAATCCAATGTTCTGCATAAAGGGTTGGAACCGAATGTGAAGGGTGAATGGATAATATAGCTTTTTCATGAAACCATTTTCTAGGACCCTTGTATGTTACTGGCTCGTTTATTGTAGAAGGGGATCGTAATCTTTCAATTCGAGGATTTTTGATGATAGGATTTTCAAGTTTTATAGTAAGGCGGTTGTTGGAACAAAGAGTCAGTTTGTCCTTTAGGAAGTTGTACCAACGTGGTATACGACCTTGTTTATTTTGGAGGCTTTTCTTGATGTCGTTATAATCTTCTAAATAAGCGTGGTCAATGGTAATAACTTGATCGAGGAAAAAAATTCCTTTCGTACGTAGACTTTTTATGTGATTATACAAATGTTTCGGGTCTATTATGTAATGGGAAATAGGGTAGGTACCACCTTTAATGGTGAATTTAAAATTAGTAGAAAATGAGAGATTATAATATCTAAAAAATACAAATAAAGATTCTAACCTAGTGAATTTTCGTAATGGGAAATCAAATAAAGAAAAAAAAGAAAAACAGTCTGTTGCTATATGATAATTATATTGTGATAATAATATAAGAAATCTAATTAAGTTATTAGTATGGGGAGAGTTAGCCTGAGCTAAAAATAAAGAAGACTGAGCCTTGATTTGATTATCGAAAATATTAACGATGTGAGGGTAGATAGAACTGTGTACTACTGAATTGTAAGTATTGTACTATTGTTCGGAAGTTGAAGGGAATTTTTAAATATTTTTTAAAGTTTAGAATTCAATTTGTTACAATAGGAGTGAGGAAGGAATGTATGTTGTGAAAGATATTCAATCCTGGGTATGATGTCTTTGTTGATTACATAAATAATATGATCATGGGTAAGTAGCGTAATTACCATACTATTAATTTTAGCTATAGTAGTAGAATTGCTATCGTTGGCACTAAGATATACCCCTAAAATTCTTGTACCTTGACCATATGGGAGGAGTTTTACATCTACCGCTTCTGACTCAAATTGAAGATTAAGCATCCGCTCATCTAATTTTCGGTTATGAAGAATAACCGATTTTCTTTTATTAATTTTTATGCTAGCAAATTGGTAAAAGTCGTCTGCTATATTTAAATTATGTTGTAGATTTTTTAAATTGTCCGCAAGCCAAGTGGTATCATCCAAATAGCCGAGAACTTTCGCTGAGAAGGATTCTCGTATTACGTCTTCTGGGTCGTCATCATCGACTCTTTTCGGAAGCGTTGTGGTATAGTTGACTCCATCGAAATCAAGTGTGTTAATTTTTTCAAACATGGGATCATAGTATATAACCCATAATAAAGGGCAGATAGATTCTCCTTGGTCGATACCGTTGATGACATCGTACGCGTCTCCAATCCAATCTTCGAATAAAACTTGATTTTTCCGATTAGTGAACAAGTTGATGATAAAAGTAATAATTTTTTCAGGTGTACAGATCCGTTTCAGTGCGCATTGAAGAAGAGAAATATTGAGTCTATCATAAGCTTTAGAGAGATCTTGTATCATAATGTATAATTTTTTCTTTTGAGAATTGGCAGCTATAATTGCAGTTTGAAGTGTGAGTATAATTTCCATACAAGATGAGCCTTGAGTACCTGCTCTATTGTTATGTTGGAGAATTTCACACGAACTTAAGAAAAGGTTAAGTCGGGAGTTAATGACTTTTACCAATAATTTTCGAAATGTATCAAGTAAAACTATCGGACGAGTGTGTTGGATATCGTTGTCCCACCAAGTTGGTTTTGGAATAGGATATAAGAGTGCATCTTGCCATGATGATGGTATGAAACCTTTGTCTATGATGTCGTTGTAAAGAATTATAAGTTCGTTCAAAAATTCATCTGGAAGTTGTTTGATCATTTCATATGTGATGCCTGAAGGACCAGGAGCCTTGTTGTTCGGTAGGACTTTGATGGTACTTCTAACGTTGTAGGGTTGGAAAGTTTGTTAATAGCATCATCTGGAATGTTCATTTTGGGTTGATAATATTTGGCCCATTCTTCTCTAATCGGTAAGTTTGGGTCGTATTGTCTAGGATTGTTAGTCGTATCTGAAGAACCGATATGTTTGAAATGTGAATTAACTCTATTAGTAATTTCAGTTTCATCAGTAGTGAATTTGATTTCATCGTTTTTTAATATTTAAGACGATCCAAGGTAATTTTTCTTGGATTACGTTCGAGGATTGAGTTGAGGGCTCGTTTTTGATTATTTTTAATGTCATCATTACGTCTGTTAATAAAGAAGTTGATTTGTTGGAGGTCCCAATCACTGCGTTCCTTTTTAATCAACTCAGTAATATGATGTTTAAGGTTACAGATGTTTATTAGGACGTGTTCGATATCTTCATATGAGTTTAGTGAATTGTTAAATAAATGAATGGAGTATAAAATTTTATACATATGAAAGATCTTAATGATCCATTTGGATTTGCGTCGCCAAAGGTGATTGAAATTGAGGAGTAACTCGTTTTTTTCTGTTGTTGTAGCGGAAAATTCATTAGAAAATTCTTGAGATAATAAAAATAATCCATTTTTTAATAATGATTCTAATGAGTTAATTTGATGAATATAATTGTATTTTTGTCTTAATTCTAACGGAAAGTTATTACGTCTCGGGGTATTTTTGTATTTCTTGACGTTCATCTCTTCTAACGTTGATATGATTGCGGTATGAAGAGAATTCATGTGTGTAGAGATTTGTTTATCAATCAATAAAAATTCAAAAATTCATCTGTCGGTTGTAACACTTGAACATGATGATTGATTTTGTTTTTGAAAGTTGTCCAGTCATCTTTATCAAGATCTTTGATATTATAGCGCGGATTTTGAATATTTTTTGATCACGTGATTTTTCGTACTTGTTTTTCTTTATTACTGAATTGTTAGGATGTGAAATTGATACTAAAAGTAGAGCATAATCCGACGAATACTTATCGGATTTCAATGAGGTATAGTCTGTAATTAAGTTTAATAGTCTTTCTGAACTAAAAATATAGTCTATTGTTGAAGGGAGTGTTATTTGGAAACCACGTGATTACATTTTTCTTTTCCAAATTTTGATGCGATATTATAAAAGTTTAGTGTTCTAAGTACTTTATAGCACATCCACTGTTGAAGTCGATTAGTGTTACAATGGTCCAATGGACAGGACGCATACGCCTATAGTATAATACTATAAGTATATCGTAACCAGTAATCACGTGATAACAATAAATTATTCACATAATTGTTCTCGTAATAACTGGACAATGCCGAACAATAAAAGAAATTTGATATTCAGAAAATTTCAGAAATAGGCCGAACTAAAAAAAAAGTTAAGCATATAAAAAAAAATTCTTTTTTTTGTCGTTAACTGAACAATAAAATTTAAAAACAGGCTTTTACCATTTTTGGTGGCTGTCAAATGTAAAGGCGTAAAAATCATAATTCGTAAAAAAAAATGCGCGCATGTTTCGTGTTACTAAATTGGATTCTAAAATCCTATTTTAGTTAATTTCGGGGATGTATATCATACGCCCAGGGTTAGTTTATCCCTTATTGTATATTTTAGGAATGTGAAGGGAGAAAATTTTACAAATTATAGATAAAAATACAGTAAATCTAGATTAATAATATATTATTAAGAATTCGACCGGTCAAAAGCTTTGCGAAAAAAAAAATATTGTTTTCTTATTCGGGAAGGAAAATTCGTTAGCTCGCTTACGTATATTTGAAATTTGAAAATTATACTTGAAGCAGCTTACAAATTCTTGATTGAATAATTCTAATTAAAACCTAAAACCTCATAGTGTACAGTTTTAGAAATATATAAAGAATTGTGAAGTTACGCAAAGGGAAAAAATTTTAGAAAAGGGTTTATTATTAGATGAAACAAAATTGAAACAAAATTGGTAACGTATTTTGATACGAATGATATACACGTTTTAAAGTTACCAATAAATAAAATACTTTGTCCGGAAGAACGGGATTCATTTACCGTTAGTGATAAAAAAGGCGATTTATTGTTTACAAATATAGCAAAGTAGATCATTTTGTTCACCAAAAATGATGATTTTATAAATCGATAAAGGAGAAGTTTATATAAAAAAGAACTGCGGCTAATAAATAGACATATCGTCATATCGTACAATACTTTCGTGATATTTTTCGCCAGGAAAAATATGTTATGCCACATAATATAAACTCCGGACTCCGGTATGACAACCTTTTAAGTTTTTATTTAAAACCTTTGACATTTTTTTTATAATTGTGACTCTTTGTTTTGCAACTCCATTGTTTACGTATATGGCTAATAAAGAAGTAATTATTATAAAAACCATTAAGGAATAGAATTTTTAAGGGGGTCATCGTATTTCTTTTTCTTTTCTTAGTCGTTATTTTTTTTAAAAAAAAAGAGAAAAAATTCAAAAGTAAAAGAAAATTATCAAATTTTCGCTATTTATAAAAATATCGTACAAATATTAAATACTTAAATCTTATTTTCCAAAAGTTACTATGTTTGGTGGTGGTAACAACTATAACGCAAGAGCAAACTTCAACCGTGGTGGACGCGGCGGACGCGGTGGTGAAAGAGGAAGCTTTCGTGAAGTACGTGGTGGTGGAAGAGGAAGCTTTCGTGAAGTACGTGGTGGTGGAAGAGGAAGCTTCCGTGAAGTACGTGGTGGTGGAAGAGGAAGCTTTCGGGAAGTACGTGGTGGTGGAAGAGGTCATGATACGCCAAGACTTAGTATTCCTGAAAGAAAGAAATTGCAACAAAAAACTGCCATTGAAAATTTTAGTCCCCCTAATTTAGCACATGAAGGTAGTGACAAATTAGTGTTTATTGTTAATGGAGAACCGATTACTACCGTTTGGAAAAAAAAATTGTTGAAAACCCCTTGGCATCAAAATGATGTTAGAATTTTCATTTCTTCAGCATTAGTAGCAACTGATTCTCAAAAAGCCGGAGAATTAGTAACGGAATTAGGTAATGATAATGGTCTAGAGAGATTAAGAGAAATAATGAATTTCCCTATGTCATGTGATGCGGGACTTGATGATAGAAAATTATCCTTTCAATATGTTATATTACCTTTTTTGGGGTTACTGACAAAAACTGATATTACTAAGTGCATTTTGAAATATGTTGACGCAATATTTATGCTTATTTATAAAAATCTCGTAAGTATTATCGACGAAACTAACTAAATGTGATGGATTATTCTTTTCTTTACGATTAATTCCTTTTTTTTTTCTTAAAAAAAACAGGACTCGTTCTTTCATAAGAAAGTGATGAAAATGTTGGAAACGCTTGTTTCACGTAATTATATCGTAGATAATAAGGTTAATGTGGATAGATTATTTATCGAGGAACCATATTCATTCATTCCACCTTCGTAAGTAATAATTTTGACATAAAACGTGCAGATATGCGAATCAAGTGTAATAATATATTAATTAATTTTTATTTAATACGTTTTATAGTCTAGGAATATTTTTTTTGATAATTGTACGACTTCTTACAGAGTTATTACGTCGTATTAAAGAGGCATCCACTAATGAGACAATGCATAATATTGTTCACTATTTACAAGACTTAACGGCTAAATATAAACGATCACTTGAAAGGCCGCTCATTTCAAGAGACCCATTAATTGATAATTTGGAGATCAGGAAATATTTTTTCGCGATACTAGATAATGAAATGAATATTATGATTGAAATGTTTAATACTGAACATATTTCGGAAACTTCCAATGTACCTGATGAATCTTCTAATGATGATGAAAAAAGACATGATAATGATTTTGAAAATATTTCAAACATATCAATTATTCCTACAGAAGAAGAAATATTATGTGATCAACCTCCTAATTTACCTTCACTTTTTGACGAACGTCACACTTTGCCAAATGGAGCGGCTAAATTACTTGATAGACAATTTCGCCTTTTAAGAGAAGACATGTTAAATCCAATTCGTGGTGGAATATCAAATTTTTTGACTTTATTATCCAAAAATTATTATTTCACTTTAAATAATAATGGTAGATTATCTAATGAGTTGGAGAATGTACTAAATAGAGGAGGTAAATATACTTATAATAAAGGTGCAAATGATAATGGCGATTTACAAGTATATGCAAATATAGAATTTGTTAATGTTGCTTGTGATAGATGGAATGGTTTGTTTTGTACTCTAAAATTTATTCCAACTCATAATTCAACAAATATAAGGAAAATAAGAGAATATTGGCGAAACAGTAAAAGATTAAAACCTGGTAATCTCGTTGCTCTTTTATTACCAAATCCGAATTCCGAACGTGATTTTAATTTATATTCAATTTATTTCGGTGTAATCATGTCAAGAGATGAAATGACAGAAGATGAACGTATTAGAATACATATCAATTTTAATGACCTATCAATTTATCCTATTGCATTAAATGAAATTTCAAAACTTCGTAATTCAACCACAAAAAATAATTCAAAAAATTCGAACGAAGTAAAAAGTTACATGGTAGAATCAACTAATATTTATTATGAAGCTTATCGTCATGTTCTTACAACACTTCAAACTACCAAGCCTTCTTCTCTCCCCTTTAAACAATATTTAGCTCCTGAACTTGATTTCTGTTCAGAGAGCATTCATGTTAATGTTAACCCTCCAAAGTATACTAGAGCACCAGGATTTCAATTTGATTTATCAGCTTTATGCGATAACAAACAGAATTTAACATTAAATGTCGCTAATACGCATACTTATGATGACGTAGCAAAGAAAATTAATGCATATAGTATATTGGATGAATCTCAAGGTAACAAAAAGATTTAATTTTTTTAAAAGATCCACATATCATGACATAAATTTTATTAATTTATTCATTTTTTCAATTGCAGCTAAAGCAGTGATTTCTGCTTTAACGCGCGAAATTGCACTAATTGAAGGTAATGAACGTTCTTTGAAAGACCAAAAAAAAAGAATTAAATTTAACAAAATAATTTTTACTTTTTTCATAATTTTTAGGACCACCTGGTACCGGTAAAACTGTAGTTGGTATTGAAATAATGAAAGTATTATTGGCCGAAAATAATCGAGCAAATATTGGTCCTATTCTCACCATTTGTTTTACTAATCATGCTCTTGATCAGTTCTTGGAGGTAATTAATACTTATTCATCATTAAAGATTTTATTCGTTTTATTTCATCTAATTTAATATTCATTTTTTTCTTTTTATGATTTAGCATTTACTTGATAAAAATATAACAAAAAATATAGTGAGATTGGGTACTCGAACAAAATCTGATAAAGTTAAAAATTTTATGCTAGGTAAAGTTAAACCTAAAAATAGTAATATCCCAATATTATTTCAAAAATTAGAAAATATTGAAGAAGAAGTTCAGGATATAAAAACATATTATAAAAGTCGCATAATATGGAATGACGTATCTGAATATCTAAAGGATACTCAGAGAGATTTTTATAATAAATTTAGTAATGTAACTCATATTGATTTACCTAGTTGGGTCTTGGGAGCAAATATTATTGAAGAAATTGATGAAGATTCTGAAACTGAAGAGAGTAGTGATGAAGAATTTGATGATGAAGAAATTGATGACGAAGAAATTGATGACGAAGAAACTGATGATGAAGAAACTGATGATAAAGGTTTTCAAGATAGTAATAAAGAAAAAAATGAAGAATCTCAGAATAAATTTATTAAGGTTCAAGGAAGGAAGATGCACGAATTTGAAAAATGGTTAATTGGGGAAGATATTAAAAAGATTGAAGAGAGAAAAAATCATTGGTTAAATAATGAAGAAACGGATTCAGATGATGATGAATTTATCAATGAAGAATTACAATTTGTAAAAAATTATGAAAAACCAAACACTGATCGTTCTTTGAATGAATTATTAGAGGATTGTTCAATTTGGAAAATGTCAAAAAAAGAAAGACAAAAACTTCATGATTATTGGCGTGCAAAACTTGATGAAGAAAGATTATTGAATTTACAAACTAAGCATGAAGGATGTCGTCAAGAGTTGAATGATATTTATGATGAGGAACGCCGTCAAATATTATTAAATAGTGATGTTATTGGTATGACAACAAGTGGTGCTGCTAAATTACAAAATTTAATTAAATATATTGATCCTAAAATCATTATTTGTGAAGAAGCTGGTGAAGTTTTAGAAGCTCATATTCTTAGTGCGTTAACTCCTTCTACTCAACATTTAATATTAATAGGGGATCACAATCAGCTTCGACCTAGTGTTTCAACATATTCTCTTAGTATGGAATCACAAATAGGAGAAATTTATCAATTGAATAAATCATTATTTGAAAGATTTGTTGATGGTAATAATGCAATTACAATTGAAAGAACTCGACTTTTAACTCAGAGACGTATGAGAAATGAAATTTCTGAATTAATTAGTAGTACAATTTATGATGATCTAGAAGATGGCGAAAACACTGCTAAATATCCAAATATATGTGGAGCTCAGCATAATGTATATTTTATCGATCATAATCACCCAGAAGATAGTTTTGGTGATTCCGGGACACAATCTCATGTAAATATGCATGAAGTTAAAATGGTTGTAGAAATGGTTAAATATTTTGTTAAAAATGGATATACTAAACATGAAGATATAGCAGTGCTTACTCCTTATTCAGGACAATTGATCAAAATCAAGGATGCTTTATCTAAATCATTTTTCGTTGAAATTGATGAGAGAGATGCAGAGAATATTGCTGATATGGAGGGAGAAGAAAATAATACTTCAAAACCATTAAATCAACGAGTTATTTTAAGAACTGTTGATAACTTTCAGGGTGAAGAGGCAAAAATAATTATCATTTCATTAGTTCGTAATTGTTCTGGTAATAAATATAGCTCTATCGGATTTCTTAAAAGCAAAAATAGAAGTAACGTATTATTATCACGTGCTAAGGAAGGAATGTATCTTATTGGTAATTCTAAGTTGATGGCATCAAAATCTCTGGACATGTGGGCTAAGGTAGTTGATATCTTACACAAGCGTGATCCATCACAAATTGGTCCTGGTATGCCAATTGTATGTAAACTACATCCTGATTGCAAAGAGGTTGTCACTAAACCCGAACAATTTGCCGAATTTTGTTCTCCAAATGGTGGATGCCGTAGTATTTGTAATAAGCTACTTTCTTGCAAACATACATGTGTTGATAAATGTCATTTCAACGATCGCGATCATAAGAAATATAAATGTCGTAAGCCTTGTGAAAGATTTAAATGTGATCATAAATGTCCAAAATATTGCTATGAAGATTGTGAAAAATGTAATGCTCCCATTGAAAATGTTAGATTACCTTGTAGACATTCATTACCAAAGGTTGAATGTTGGAGAGTTCAAGATAACGTTATGCCTAAATGCTGTTTTCCAATGGATATTATATTACCTGGCTGTGGGCACACATTAAAAGATGTTGAATGTTGGAGAGTTCAAAATGATGATCTACCTGAATGTCGGTATCCAATTGATATTAAATTACCTGACTGTGGACACACATTACAAGATGTTGAATGTTGGAGAGTTCAAAATGATGATCTACCTGAATGTCGGTATCCAATTGATATTAAATTACCTGACTGTGGACACACATTACAAGATGTTGAATGTTGGAGAGCTCGAAACAATGATATACCTGCATGTAGATCTCCAGTTGATATCCAATTACTTTGTGGACATACATTATATAGTGCTGAATGTTGGAGAAATCAAAATAGAGAAAAAATTGAATGTGATGAACCTATTGATCTTATATTACCTGGTTGTGGACATACATTACCAAAAGCTAAATGTTGTTTGGATAAAGATAAAGAAAGCATCAAGTGTAAAACCTCTATTAATGTTACATTATCTTGCGGACATACATTACAAGATGTTGAATGTTGGAAAAATAAACATAGACAATTACCTAAGTGTAGTGCTTCTACTAATATTACATTGCCTTGTGGACATATATTACAAAATGTCGAATGTCATAAAAATGAAATCAAAGAAGAAATCAAATGTACCGCTCCTGATGATATTGAATTACCTTGTGGACATATATTAGAAAATGCTGAATGCTGGCAAAATAAAAATAAAGAAAAAATTAAATGTAATACTACTAAGGATATTACATTACCTGTTTGCGGACATCTATTACAAAATGTTGAATGTTATAGAGTTCAAAATGAAGAGTCATTTACATGCAAGTTTCCGGTTGATATTGAATCACCTGGTTGTGATCATACATTAAAGATTGAATGCTGCAAAAAAGATCAAAGTGAAAATATACCTAAATGTAATCATCTTGTTAAGACTAAATTACCTTGTGGACATATGTCAGGATATGTTGATTGTTGGGAAATTAAAGAGAAAGAAATCAAATGTAATGCTTCTATTGATATTAAGTTACCTTGTGGACATACATTACTAAATGTTAAATGTAGTCAAAAAGAAATACCTAAATGTAATGTTAATGTTGATTTTGAATTTCCATGTGGACATAAATTAAAAAATGTTGAATGTTGGAGAAAAGAATCACTCAAGTGTACGGAAAAAATCCCAAAAAAATTATCATGTTGTGAACACACTATTATCACTCAGGTATGTAAAATATTTTTTAATTTATATTGTAATTTTTATGTTTTTAAATAATTGTTCCTAACATTAACTTTAATTTCATATTTTAGTGTTCTAAGTCAGTTGATAATGTTCTATGCAAAAATAAATGTGGAAAACAATTAAAATGTGGACATGATTGTTTAAATAAATGTCTTGGATGTCAAAGACGGTCTATGTCACAAAATTTCATATTTAAAGACAAAAAATTAGAAATTAAAGAAGCAATTCTTATCAGGCGAACAAGACATCAAAAGTGTAAGATTACATGTAAAAAGCTATTATATTGTGGTCACATGTGTAAAGAAGATTGCCATATGGGTGAATGTCGTCGGTCTTGTAATGATAAATGTGCGGTATCATGTGAACATACTAAAAAAGCATGTAATAAAGAATGTTCAGAACCTTGTGCTGTGTGCGCAAAACAATGTTCGTGGGAATGTAAGCATAAAGGAAAATGCGAGTTAAGTTGTGGAATTCCTTGTGATAGATTACCTTGTAATGAAAGATGTGATAAAAAATTGAGATGTGGGCATACATGTGCTGGCGTTTGTGGTGAAATTTGTCCTCCTTGTGCTAACGCTAAATGTGCTCCCAAAGAAGTTAAAAATCAAGGTAATTTAATTTAATTGATATTATTCGTTATTTATAAATTTATTTGTTATTAACATGATTTGTTTAAAAAAAAACCAGTATCGGATAGAATCAATAAAACTACGTTTAGTAAGGTAGATTGGAATAAAGAAAGGATGATTTTTCTTTCTTGCGGCCATATATATACAATGAAATCTATGGATAATCATATGGGAATGAAAGATTATTATGAAGGTTCGATCGATAGAGGATGGACGTCAGTTAAATTGCTTCCAACTTCAACAAGTGTAAAAACATGTCCAGAATGTCAAGCACCGATCAAAGATATTAAAAGATATGGAAGAATAATTAAAAAATGTACATTGGATATTCAGAACAGGAAATTTATTACAAAATATGATGGTGAATTAAGAAAAATTTCCAAACGTATTAATACAATTTTTAACGAAATGAACAAAAGTAGGAATAAGTTAAAAAACGAATTACCTAATAATCCTAAATTAAAACCAAAAGAAATAGTACTTAAAGAACATAATGTTGCATATAAAGGATTATCCGAAATTACTCCTTACTATTATTTTGAAAGTATTGCATTATATCATGGATTTGATGATAATAGCCAACAAGTTTGGCTTAGTCATGTTGGTAAATTATTAAAATGTTATGAGGAATTGATTAACATTATTCATTCCACAAAGAAATCACCTCATAAAAAAGCGTTTGAAGCAAGTTTGTAAGTATTCTAAAATAGTTGATTTTATAATATTGATATTTTTATCATTATTTATTCTAACTTCATTTAAATTTTTTCTTTTTTTTTTAGAAATATAAATGGAGGATCTAAAGCTTTCTTATCAAGATTAGATAATAAAATTCATTTGATTTATTTAGATGCGATTCTTGAAATAATCAATATACAAAAATCCTTACAAAATGAAGTTTCATTCATAGTTAAAGAAATATCAATAAAAGAATCGATAACCGTAGGAACAAATGATGGTATAAGTATTAAAGAAGTTTGGCAAAATTTTGATAGAAGGTTAAAAGATTCTATTCAAAAACATCAATGTCATGGTATAGATAACATCGATAATACAATGAGAAGTCCCAATTACAATAACGCTGAAGAAGAATTTAAGAATAGTATTTCATATAGATTAGATAAATTATGGAATGATAGTGATTAAATAGAAATTACAAGTTCATCAAACATAAAGTGCATTAATAATTTTATCAATTAACAAATTCATTTTAATTTAGAAAAGAAAAATTACATTATATAGAACAATATATTAATTAAAATCTTTTATTTTTATCGTAATAAAACGCGTCTATATTGATTGTTATAACCATTTAAGGTCTTATATAATTAAGCATAATACATAATTTAATCACGTTTGCGAGCAGGTATGTTATGTGTGTTTTCACCGCTTACTCTTGGGATAATATTTTTTACTAATAAAACACTCGCTATATGTTATATAGCAAAGAGTAGCGCCCTAATATTTTTATTTCTTTTCGTTAACTATTATTAATTCTTTAAATAAAATATAAAACATACTGTGTTTCATCATACATTTCCCAATTTTCATATTAACCCGCTAAAGATTAAAAAGAAAACTTGGTTTTAGGAAAGAACTCAGTTGGGAAGAAGAATCTGATTATAAAAAAAAAATAAAAAATTTATTACCTGTTTTTAAATTATTTCAAGTCTTTATTGTAACGAAAAATTGGACAATAGCGAATCATATGCTGATTGATGTGAGTAGGTTTAAGAGCTAGTATGTTCTAATCCCGAGATTTCGAGATAATAAAGTATCACATTTGCGAATGAAAACACGTTTGTGTAATTGTAAGTGTTCTTCTCTAATGTTATAAAGTTTGATTCAATTGTTCGTCATCATTGAATGACCTAATTATAAGGAGTACAAAGAAATCCAATGTGAAGCAATTATTGTGAATGACCACGCAACTCGTTATTCTCATTGGATCTTTAGGCGAATGGTGCTCAAGTCACTGAGTTCCTGCAATTACAGGTGTTGACGCTCGGTCTATCGTTCATTTACTTCGAAAGTTTAGCAAATTGCGTTTTTCCTACAATTACAAATTGAAACTAATAATAAAAAATAGACCGTGATTTATTTGCTTATTCCCGTAAATTTATAAGCCATTTAAGCTTTTTATGAACAAGCCATAGTTTAATCAAGTTATCTACTTGATAATATCGATTCCGAAACTGAAGTAGTGGTCTCTATATAATTCTATTCTATTGTATTAATAACACATTTTATCTCATTTAAAAAAAGTTTCAATTTATATAAAAATTTTAAATGTATATTAAATAGTAATTCATATGCTATATCAAAATTTCTGGCAGTCTTACGGAACGATAATTTGATCATTAAATTGAAACAATTAAAAATAATATGCAGTCAAACTTTTAAAATTTATTTTGAACGTTCCTTTGTTTAAAGTCCATAGAGCAACATTGCCTATTAGCCTCATTCCCTTAAAATACAACTTATTAATTAAAGTTGCCTGCCGCAAGTATTAATTACGGCATTCTGGATTACAACTTGGATTGCAACCCTGATTTAAACTATGGCTTAAAGTTGTAACGTGCCGTATTAAAGTTGTAATACGTAATTATAATCGGCAAATTATAACGATAATTAAAATGTTTTAAAAAATCAGGTTCTTGATTAGTTATTAAAAGATCAAAAACGTATTGTAAATGGAAAGCTAAACCCTTACTATATAGCTCCATTAGTGTGGTGGAATACATGTTTTCCATTACACCAAGTTCTGCAGCATGTGAACGAATGTTTTCATCGCTATATGGAAAGCGCTGAACTCAATTAAAGTGAATAGATTAGAAGGATTGGCAAAGATTTATCGATTTAATCTATCAAATGCTGCAGAACAGTTTTATCAAGCTCAAGAAGAAATTTCTCCTGAAATGGTAAAAAATATCATAGAAATAGTTTTTAATGAACTTGAGGAAGAAGCCTTTCTAGAAGAATCAGAGAGTGCTAAATTGCCAAATCCAGCTGAGCGCCTTCATACAGACGAGGTGAATTTAAACTTGAATATTTCGGATATGGTTGATTTCCGATCTCAAATTTTTCACTCTAATGTATTAATGAAAGAGAGGAATACGGTGATGAATCTAGATATACGCATTTGTATACAATCATTTATGTTTAAAGATGGTAAATAGTAAACAAAAATCTAAAGAATTTTTATTAAAAATGTTCGTGTGATACAAAAAATTATTAAAATATTTAAATCAATATTAATAATAAAACTATGGTTAAATCCAATTACAATTTACAACTGGTTGGAAAATTACGGCAAAACATTACAGCTCTACGACATTACGTCACAACCTTCCAACTCTGTTACAACTTTACGGCACGCAACACTATTATTATGTCTATTTAATATTAAAAATAATCGGGAAAATAAAATACCTTAATACCCAGTTTATTTGTTATTCTACTTTGTGACTTTTAAGGTTTGTTGCATCAAACGGAATTTCCGTCAATGATTGTAATGATTAGGTATAAACGCTGCATATTGCGGCTTATTACAAATTTAGTTAATCCAGATTATGAAATCCAAGTAATATTACTTTTCGTGGCTAATTTTCTTGATAGACCTTAAAAACGATTGTTGTACAAATTATAAAAAAGGTATCAATAATTATTGATAAACAACAATAGAAAATTCGTTTATAAAAAGGAACGATTTCCCAGGCAGAAATCCTTTTTTTTTTCTCGTGCTCATAATTGCATTTACAGTATGCGAGTTCAAGATTCTGACCGAGCTTCTGATAATTCTGGTAAGAATTTTATAAAGTAGATTTCCATTTACAGTTTTAACCATATATTATATTATACCTTGTTCCCGATTTTGTTTTTCTTTTTTAAAAAAAAAACGGTGTTATTATTGTTTTAAAAAAATAAATAAAAGTAAAATAAAATTAAATTAAATTAAAATGAATATAACCTTGTATCAGTAGTATGTGTATAAAATAATAGAATTATAAAAAATCTTTTTAAATATTAAATATTAAATGATAAAAATGTAAATATTGAAAACATGATTATTCATATCAATTTTTTTTTTTTAGATTTTCAGGATGATTCCATAAATGGATCTACCGTTCTTATCAACCCTACTTCGATGCAGCGTCAAACTAGTATCGAATCCGAAAATTCTTTAAGTACACTAGATGAAAATGAAATTGAATCTTCTCTCTTACCTCCATTTGTAAATGATTTTGATGTAAATCAAGTTGAATTACTTGAGCAAAATTTGAGTCAAATTTTTCCACCACCGTATAATATTTTTTCCAGTAATGAGTTTCAAGAAGATCAACAAAGTTATGACGAAAATGCTTCCATGTCTCGGTATAGTGAATCTTTGACTGAAGAATCTCAAATATCACATCAATTTGAAAGCCCAATTCAAATTAGTTACGACGAAATAATGAGCAAAACTGCTCAAAATTTAGATAATAACGATACAAATATTAGAAAAGCTTTTGGAAGTGACATTAAGAACAAACCAGATATTAAGAACAAATCTGATTATAAAAACAAACCTGATTCCAAGAAGAGTATTCGTAATGTTCTTAAAAATCAAAAATTTTATATGAATACTCAAACTGAATATGGTAAAGACTTGGTCGAATATATTCCTGGATTATATCGTTTGTTATCTAAAGCTGATGATTCAAGTAGTTCTGGTATGTTTTATTTGTATTTATTCATCATATTTCTCAAAGAAAAATTAATTTTCTAATCACATATTTTAGCAGACCATATAATTCTTTCCAAGGATTCTTTGAAGAAGCTATGCAACGATTGGTTTCCATTAAGTTTCAAATCTATTTCTGAAATTAATTATACAAAGCTGAATTCGATTTCATTTCGCCTTATCGGATGTTATGGAAATCATGCTTTGATAGCAAAATTCTTATTAAATAATAAAATTATCAACCAAAAAATGTAATGTATTTTATTCGTAAATTCTTATGTTTTATTTTGATAATCGTAATTAAAAAATTTTCTCTTTATTTAGTCATAACTTACTTACAGATTCACAATCTTCCATGGAAGATGTGAATAAACCTTCTTTACGTCCAGGTATTTATTTATTAGTTGTGAACCCAGATTTAGGTTTAGTTATTCATTGGCCTGAAAACGGTTGCTATGAGGAAAATGCTTCCCCGCAAAAGAAACAAAATATGATTAATTTTCATAAGTATGTATTATAAATTATCATGTTTTTTAAAAAAATCTCGCTAACTTATTTAATCTAATATTATAGATATTTGACAAATCTTACTGATCATCAGCTTTGCTTTATGATCGATAATGATCTGGAAAGTTTTGATTGGAATTTAAACAATCCTGATCTCAATACAAGTGATGAAAATGAATCATGTTATGAATTTGAAGTCAAGAAAAGTCAAGAAGAACAGGATGACTTCGAAGTTCATGATGGTTTTAAGGTTTTTATTTATACTTTTTAAGTATTAACTTGTATTATGCGATACTTTCTTGAAAATTAACATAAATTTTTATTGAAGGTGAATTTATCTCTTAAAATCAAAACCGATATGAACGTTAATCATCAATACGATGTACCTTTGTATCCGATTGGTAATCAAATTAATTTATTTTTTTGCATATGTAAATTTTGTTTATATCAAGAGATGATAATTTTTTTTATTTTATTTTATAGTGGTTGAATCAACTACGAATCAATCATTCATTACTAGAAAGATGGTGAAAAAATTAAGTAAAAACGATTTGACTTTTTCGGCTGCATCATTTTCAACTGAACTTTGTAAAATACTTCAAGAGCGTAGTTTATACATTGATCGTAAATCGATGGATATGAAACAATTGGAATTTTTGATAAAAAATGGATTCAAAGCAGAAACCAAACTTTTGAAACCATTTGATGACGCAATAGATGCTGCGAAATCACGAATGAAAAAGAAGATTGATCAAGCAAAACGTACAATGGAAGAAGATGCAGAAATTATTACTAGGATGGGTTGGAAGAAATCTTATAGGTATTATAATTAACTAAATAATTAATTTCATTAATCGTATTATTCACTAAAATGTATGTATATATTTTTAGCATATTTGAGACATTTGTTGATAAAGATCTTTTTGACAACTCGGAAAATGACGATAAAGTTATTGAAGAAGAAGGTAAATTAAGAAAATTTTCATTATTATGAAGATTATTGGCATTAATTAATTACCAATTTTATATTAAACTAATCTTTTTTTCAGAAATTAATAGAATTCAGTCAAAATATCCAGAGGTTAAAGATATGATAAAGAAAATTAAAATTAATTCTCCTGATTGGATTAGGTTGAAAAAGAGATATGCAATGGCATATCTCGTCATAAATAATGTTTATAGATTATTGAATAATAATATAAAAAGATCAGAAGAAATTATAGAACGTGCAATTCAAGAATTTTATAGTATGTTCATTGATGTAGAGACTGACACACATAAATTGGTTGAGAAATATGAGCTGCGATCACGGGATTTCTTTTCGAGCCTCTCTACGAGTTCTAGTGTTCCCCAATCGAAATCACAGGAGAAGCTTACTTTTGATAAACTACGTATCAATCAGACCGACGAACAATCTAAAAGATTTATTCTTACTAAATCAGATTCTGAGTTTGTCCAGGACATTATTAATTCACAATTTTTTGCAAAGTTAAATCATATAAGACAAGATGTATTAGTAGTATTCTCAAATGAATACCAAAATTGGAGAAAAGATAATTTTCCAAATAGCGTTAAAGAAATGGTTCCAACATTTTCTTTTAACAAGCAATTAATGGATAAGATAAACGATGATTTTTCTCGTGAGAAGAAAGAAATTGAGAATCATGAACTTGAAAGAATATGTTATGAATTAGAAAAAGGTCACCGTGATGGGTAAGCTATATTTATTAAGACATTTTTTAAAATCACCATTTATTTAGTTATTTTGACCATTTTTTAGACTACTACGTTTGAACCTGTCAAATATATCAAATGTTACAGGTAATAATTGATCATCATTGATTTTATTATTTTATTTCTTTATTAAACATTCCAAATTATTTTTATAACAGATATAACAGATAAAGAACGACAATTCTGCTTAAATTATGAGTTAGAGACAAATCGATTGCAAATAACTATTTACGAAACATTGTTAGATAAATCGGATGATTCTCATGTTCAAGATGATGAGTCTTATGTACCAAATCTAATTTTATCTTCAGATTTTTCTACTGGTCAATATGGTGTTGATTTTATGATTGATCCTACAATCTACGATTTCAGGTACAATATTCTATAATATTTGTCATTTTTTTAACAATCTTTTAATTATTTATTTTCTAAAACCTCAGAAAAATATCTCAATTCGAAAATTGTAAATTCCTTCTTGTGCTTTACAATAAAAACAAGAAACGAGTTGAAATATTCTTTGATACCGCTCAACAATTGGCACGAAGATTTAAAAAATCTGATTCAATCAAACCAATTAAAATATTGAATATAAATGAAAATTTCCTTGTTGCAGTTAATGAACCAAAAGAATTAATTGCTATATTTGATACAAATAGAACTATGGTAAGTTTTGATGTTTATAAAATCTAATATTATATTAATAAATTTAACTCTTCTATTTGTTTTTTTAATTAGTTGAATGTATACTCTTTTAGTGATGATCAAACAAATTTATATGCACGAAATCCAGATATCGAATTATTACGATGTTATAATGATATGGTTCCAGATATTCAATATTTCTTATTTATTAAGGATACCGAAGAACTTTGTTTTGTTGAGAAAGGTGGTCAAGCACGAATTTTTAACCTTATAAATCAACGATTTCGACCTGCAGTTAGTAAATTTCCATCAAATACAGCAAATGTTTTAAGTACCCCGGATGGTTCTTGTATTGTGGCTTTCGTAAAAGAAAAAGTTTATGACGATGAAATTGCTGACAGTAGAGGAAAAGATATTTGTCGCGCTTATGTTTATTTTTGTGCAAATTTTGGAGGTTCCGTTAGTAAAGGTAGTTTCGTAATTTGTACAGTATGTTATAATACAAAATTTAATGTGTTATTAATGTTTTCTCATTTCTTTTTTCTACAGTTGTTAATTTACCACAAAACCTTGAATCCTTAGTATTCTTACAATTCACTCGTGTGAATAAATTACAAACTCATTTGTTATCATTTGATTTACCGGATGGATATTTAACCTCTGCAATAGTTAAAGTTACTATGGAGAAAACTCATTATCATATCCAAGAACGAACGCAAAAGCAATCAACTGGACGTGTAAAATTAGTTGATTCTTCTCATAAGAATGTCGATTGTACCATTGTTAAAGGAAAAGGTACTCATTTTGAGAAAACTATTCAAAAGGGCCAAAATATTGTTATAATGGGAGAAAGATATAATGTGGTCAAAGTTCTTTCTGACACAAAGTTGAGAGTTTCTGGCAAATTTAAATCAACGAACGTAACTGATAAGTGGGCAGAATTTTATGTTGAACCTATTGAATCGAAAACAAAGTCGAATTATCTTATCGATGTTTATAAATTAATGGTTGAGAAATATCCTATTGAAAATTGTATAGATCCTCAACAAAATCATCCTTTTAACTTAAAAATTGTCCTTGATATTGATGAAACTAATGATATTGATATTGAAGAATATACGGAAAGATTTGAAAATTATGTAATCGAGAGCTTAAGGCATTCTGTAAAGAAATTCGCAGCAATATTAAAGAAATTTTCCGTACCAGTAATTACTTTCCAAGAACTTGATATTGATGATGTGAGATTTCTAAGTAAATATTCATCATATTACGACCTAGGAGAATGGATGATTAAACTTTGTTGTCTAATTCCCATACAAATTGCTGTAACAAAAAATAATTCGTTTCAACTTCTTAAAGATGGATTGTCCTGGGATGAAGGTCGGGTCGAATTTGATAATGGTTATGGCCATTATATAGATAGTATAGCAAAGAGTATATCTTTTGGATGGTACGAAGGAATTTTCAAATATTTTGGTAATAAAAAAATCAAAGTTGTTTCTACCATGGGTGAACAATCATGCGAAAAGTCACTTATGTTGAATCATCTTATCGGGACCTCATTTGACGAGTCAGCGATGGTAAGCATTATGATTGTTCTTTATAATTAATTTTAAAAAATATATTAAATTATAATTCATTTTCAGGGTTGTACTGAAGGTATATGGATGTCATTAGGTGAATTTAAAATTTCTTATAATTTTTTTATTAGAAGCATAAATAGACTTGTTAATTTTATTGTTACTATTCTATAGTATACACGAAGAAATATCTTTATGTCGCACTTAATTTTGAAGGTCAAAAGAGAACTCCACAAGAAGGTAGACTAAAATATATCTATATATTTAATAAATCTTTATTAATGTAATTTCTCTCTTTTTTAGACTTGTTTTTAATGCTTTTTAATACAATCGTTTCAAATCTCATTCTCTTTAAGGTTAATATCATAGGTTTTTTTTTTCATTTATATTATCATTTTTACATATGTTGTTAACATGATAACTTTTAAAATAGAATCAACCTGATGTAAATAAAGATACGTTAACAATGTTTCAAAAATTTCAAGATGGTGCATTGTTTTTCGAGTCAGGTTCAAAAATTCCTCAGGTTCGTCTAACAATTTTTTCACGAGTTATCTCTTATGATTATTTAGTTGTACCTTTTAATATTTCTTTTTTTTTTATTCAGGCAAAACTGAGTATTGTTTTAGATGATGCTCCTAATGCTAGCAAAGAAGACATCGTTAAAGAATTTAAGTCAAACCTCTCTCAATTTGTTTTAGAGGTAAATCATATTGCTTGAAAAAACAAAACCAGTCGGTACGTCTCACATTTAATAATGTTTTTAGGAAGGTGAAGGTAACTTTATGACAAAAATGTACAAAGGAAAAATGGATATTATTTCTTGGCCGGCGTTCAATGATGCTGCATGGTTTAAAAACTTGGAAAATGTCAGTAAGAAGTTAGCTAAGCAGGAAGAAAAACACGAAAATGCTAGGACTTTCTTGCAAAATACTAAAGTAGTTATGGCTAAATTGAAGGTTCGCAAATATTATATTTATTTAATGAAAAAATTGACAGTATTGTTTATTAATAAGTACTGATAGTATTTAACTTTAGATATGTGATTGGAGTTCATTAGAAGAAACTCTCATGCAGATCCGTATTGCGACATTAAAAAGGTTGCTTCCAACTGTTATTTCTTGTGGCTTGGAACAAAAAGATTATGTCACCAGAGAACTTATGGTAAGAAATTTTTTCGCTTATATTTGAAATATTAAAACTATTTTATTTATTTATTTATTTTTGACAATAGAATTATGATACTGAAAAACCAATTGATGATCCAATAGTCAGCCTGTCCGACATTTTAAATGACTTCAAAGAATCGGCTAAAATATTACCAGATTCCGATATTCAGTTACTTGATGAAAATGGGGCTTTTGAAGAATTTTTTGATAATTTAAGAAAATACTTTGAAGACGTTGTACAATCGCGAAAAGAATCATCTGATGACAGCAAATGGTTTGCCAACTTTGACAAATTCATCAAGTACGTTATTGAACGACGTGTTTCACGTGTTAAAGAATGGTACTTACAGAATACTTCCAAGTTTCCACAAGATAATAATGACATTGTACATGAAAAATATGCAATGGAACAAGAAACAGACAGACTTACACTTTTATGGATTTTATGTGGATCAACATGTCATCGATGTGGTTTAAAATGTGTCAAAAATCGTGATCACGAAAATAATCACGATTGCTTGACTGATCATAAATGCCATTTTATTTGTAATTTTGATGGAACCCACAACAGAAAATTGGTTCCAAATTGTATTTATATAGCTGGTCATGAAGGAAAACATGTTTGTGATCAAAATCATTTATGTGGTGAACCATGCAATCTTATCGATAAACTCAATTGTCAGAGAATTTGCTCAAAGGAAATTGGACATGACGGTGAACATTTATGTGAATCAACACTCCATTACTGTGGAGAAGATTGCTCATTATCAACATATACTCAAAAAGGAGATTATCGTTGCCCTAATAAATGTGTTATGCCATATAATGAAGAACATGATTCACACCGTTGTGAGAATGAAACTTGTCCAATCCAATGTCCAATTCCAAGTTGTCAGAAAAGATGTCAAAGTAATGATCACTTCCATTCGTATTCTGACTTAATGGTTGATCATTTTTGTGGGTATGTATTAGAAATTTTTTTATTCTTTAGTTTTTTTATTATTTCGAATTTTTTTTTTAAAAAAAAAAATTACTTTAAAACTCCTTATATTTTAAGAAATGAGCATCTGTGCCAAGAATTTTGTGAAGATGATGGTGTTTGTAAAGTTGTAATTGAACCTAAACAGCAAATAACCCGTACAAAGGTATAATCAATAAAATTTTTTTTTATGAGCAATTTATGTAATGAAGATATAATGTACTGACCTTTAACTTTATAAACGATTAGTATATTCAATCAAATGAAAAATTAAAATGCAGTAAAAAAATACCTCCGAATGAATTTGAACATATCGGAAAACACACTCATAAAGAAGATGGATTTCATTATTGTAACGTGAAGTGTAAATACTGTGAATATTATGTATGTATTAAAAAGAAAAATTTATTGTTTTATTGAGGAACTCAATTCTAATTTTTTTTTTTAAAAAAAAAAATTTAGTGTACGTTGCCTTATGGACATACACAAATTCATGAAACAAGACATGGTAATATGAAACCGAATGAATTCACAAGTGATGATAATTTTGAATTTACAGGGTATATATGATATTAAAAATTGAATTTATTATTACACTGATCACGTAATTTGTTTTTTAATTAAAATAAACATCTTTCAATTATTAGACAAGAAGTTCTTTGTAATTTAGTAAGTAATATATTAATTTATAATTTCTTGCGTATTTAAATTATTAATTAAAATTATTTCTTTTATTAGAAATGTAAAGGTTTAGGCAGACATCCTCATGTTGATTATTGTCAAAATGAAGAAAATTGTAGATTAGGAAATCAAAGAATTGATATACAACATATTGATGGTAAATTATATTCCTCCTCTTTTTTTTTTCTTTTAGGTGAAACTTATTTTTAATAATTTAATAAATTATAGAACGAGCTCATCCCCATCCTGATAGACCAAAAGACTTAATTTCCCATAAACTTTATTGGGAGCGAACAGGTTTCAAAGGTATATATATTAAACAACTATTTTTTTTTGAACTTATTATTGTACTATATTTAATAATTCGTTTTCTTTTTAATAATAATAATAAAATAAAATATTAGATCCTTATTCTGTTCAAGAACAGAAGGAATTTGCAAAATGGAATCATGAACGTATGGATTAAAATTAATTCCAAACATAGGTAAATTTTGTTATCAAACGTTAATATGATTCAAAAACGAGTCGCATCTAACCCCTTTAGAAATGTATTTCTGAATACAAAATCTTATTTTCAAAGAATTATTTGAACAGATGAAAAATAGTATATACTCGTTATAAGTTAATTCAAATAGTAAGTGTATAGTTTTAAAATAATAATTAGAATTTAGAATTTTGGAAAACGGAGATTTAAGAAGTTAAAATCTTATAACAAATTATATTTATATCTTTTTAAAAATAAATACTACTTTTCCACGTTCAGTTGTATGAATTTGTTTTATTTGGAGTTTTGATATAATAAAATCTAAAAAAAATCTTAATTATACAAGAATTAAAATTAATAACTAGAGTTGTGGGAATCAAAAGTAATTTTAATTATTCTTATTTAAATATTAGTATTTAAATATCAGTTTTAGGTGAATGTTTTTCTAATAATTTTGGACATTAACAAATAAATTGTATATTGTACAATTTATACAAAAGCATAATATTTAATGAAAAAATCGATTTTAATTTATTACAATTGTTAATGGTTGGGGTTGCTGAAGCTGCCATGGTAATGGTTGAGCTCCCACGATGATGACTGAAGTTGTTGAAGTAAATTATTTTGAGTATCAGTAGGATATCCAAATGCAACGAGAATATTTTCAACAAGATGGAATCAATATCATCGGCAGCAAAAGAAAAGAAAAATATTGTTGGGACTTGTTAAACTAGATGCGCTTAGCTTATATTTGCGCTGGTTATCACTTTGTTTCCTGGAATCCTGGTATATGGAGCGGAATGGTTATACGTGCATGCGTGCATCTTTAATTTCTTATAAGTGTGCGACGCAATATATGAGATTTTCGACTTTAGAGTGGTACGAGAAGAAGAATATCCTCCGCTCGGATTCTATTTTCTGCGTTAGAAAGGCTTTGTCTTTTAGAGGACTTGATCTTGAATTAATCGTTCGTAGGTTAACACAAACCCTCGCACAGTGTATCAACCGGTTTCTGTAATCCGTAGTACATCAGCTCAAGTAGAGAACTCTAAGGTTGAATTCTAATATATATAATATTCATCATTTTATTATAATAATTTATTCTCTTTCTTTTAAATGATCATGGAACATCTCTAATAAGTAAAAATCCATATTTAATTTATTAATTTTATAGTACATTTAAAAAAAAATAAACGAAAGTATTTTTTATATAATTCAATATTTAGAGATTGAAGTGATTAGATCATTTCCAACTTTTTCGCTTAAATGTGTCAATTTTTGGAATAGTGCAAAAAAATACATTATGCATTATGCATTAGCTATCACATATTTATTTATTTAAATTATTCTGTGTAACAAGCTTTTTTATTTTTTAAAATAAAAAAGTGGGTAGAGACCTAAATATATATAAAGAATGCAAAAACTCCATTTTTTTTCATTTTTTAATAAATCGGTTTTTTAATGCTGGCTTTCGTTATTTAATAAAAAAAAATCAGTTGATTTAATGTCTCCTTTCGTTTTTTAATAAAAAAAAATCGGGTATTTCATTTTTAATAAAAGAACGTCAAGGGTTCAATCCTATTGAAAAAAGTTTATTTCAAACAATACATAATAATCTAATCCAAAACTCAAAGAAACCAGAATAAATTTACCTATTGCAAAGCGTAATTGTTAGAGAAAGAACATTTTTGTACTTTTATCAAATATAAAAAGTTTTTTTTTTTTTTTATTGTACTAATATATCGTAATAATAGTGTGGTGTAAGAAAGAAAGCGAGCGTTTATGAAAAAGAGGTCTAGAATAAATTTTTTTCTTAATAATATTTCTGAAAAAAAGCTGAGATTTCTTTTTTAATTTAAAAGCATTGCACAAATCTTTTAATGCCCAATGCATATTTTTTTATCAAATAAAATATTTTTTGATAATTTTTAACCTAAAAATAATAAAAACTACTTTAGTCGAATAAATTTTTTAATTCTAAATAATTCACATTTTTTTTTCAATTATTTTTAATTCATAACTATTTATTTGTATTTTAACTCAAACTGTAAAATAATATGAGTTCATTTATTAACTAAATATTTACTATTATCGGATTGTATTGGAATTGTCTTTTTTTTATTCCATTTATTCATTATATTCATTATAAAGGAACATCCCGGATGTAATTTGTAAACCATCCAATCATTGTAAATATCGAATTATAAAACACTTAATAATAATTCATTTGTTTATTTTTATTTACTTGTTTTATTTTTTGGCTCAAAAACGGTTTTTTTTTTGGACGAGTTGTTGTCACACAGAACTTTCTTAAGGAACAAATAATCCATAGTTACGTAACTCAGTTTACATTAAAATATATATTAACCGAAACAATCTTAAAAAGAAAGAAAAAAGGTTATTATTGTCTTATTTACTGTCTTATCTATATTGAAAGAGATGAAAGAGATGAGGGGTTTTTTATTTTGTTCCTACTTTTGGATAATAAATAAAGTTCCTTGAATAAATTCATTGTGGTATTTTGGCGATTAAAATATGGAATTCCAGTATGGAATTACCGATCTACCTAAAAATTTCACAAAATAATAAACTCCGATCAATACATATCATGAACTACCAATAAAAACAAAAAGGAAAAATAGAATGTATGTATAAACGTAGTATTTGTAAACATTCTTACTGTTTTCGTTAAGCTATTAATTGTTGTTTAAAGGAACAATTCAATATTTGTATTTCCATAAAGATACACATACATTTACGTTTAACTTTAAAAAAATCAGTATTGTTACACTCTAGAACTCTAGTTATTATTTCATTTTATTTCATTTTTCAAGAATGTTCTTTTTGTCATTCATAAGGATTTCTTCTAGTCTTCTACACATTTCTTTTTCTTTATAATGTAATTTATTTGACTTGAAATGGATCAGAAATGTCATGACAAAATTTTTTATTTACGTCATATATAACCAAATAAATCATTATTGATGTATATCATGTTTTCTTTGAACGAGTTGAAAGAAAAATAAACACATGACACAAATTGACAAATTAACCACACACAAAATATTTGACGTAATAAGAGATTGTATTAATGTATTTTTATGGATCCATAAGAATAATAATGTCTGATATGGTAATTTTTTATTTTATAAATCGACAATCACACTTAATTCAATTAATTCATACAAACATTCCAATTAAAAATTCCTGTTTAACAATCGTCGGTTAGTATTGTATTAATTATTGTAAGACGATCAAAACTGCAAAAAAAAAAAAAAAATTAAAAAATTAAAAATTGATATACAGAAATTTCTTATGTATTATAACCTTAAAGAAAAAGAGAAGAAAGAGAAAGGATTATTCGTTGTCTTATCTATATTGAAAGAGATTTCTATATTTAAAGGAGATTCTTTTTTATGTTCCTACTTTTTGGATAAAATTATCGTAATTAGTTGGTTATAACTGATCAAGAACCTTTGACTGACCGACTGCCTGACCAACCATTTGACCAACCATTTGACCGATCATTTGACCGATCATTTGAGTGATCAGGCTAACATTCTGACATTTATTGCATTTATTGCATTTATTGCATATGTATATTACACATTCAAATTCTTATTATGAATTTCCCGGTTTTAGAGGATAATTTATTACTTAAACGGGATATAATAGAGTTTTTAACATAAACTACAAAGGAAAAATCGGATCCGTTTCTTTGTTTACCGATTATTAAAAAAAAATTTTTTTTCCTTATAATATAAAAAAGTAAAGTGTATTTACTATTAACCTACTTTTGGATATCTATGAATAAAAAAAATAAAATATTATTCATATCGGCTGATCAGAAAAGCCTCCCATAATTTTATATGCTAATGACAATAAGTAACCCATCAGTTATATAATGAACCCATCAACTGAGCTTAAATATTAATTGGCTTGATTTTTCTAATCAGCCGATATGTATATAATAATTAATTGAATAGTTGTATTAAAAAGATGAATATTAAAGAAAAACAAATAACAAACCATTGTTTACATTATATCCTTATGTTCTTATGTTATGAGCTTAAAAAGTAAATACATTTGTATCTCATTGATGTTTAACTTTTAAAAAAAATTTTGGAAAAGGACTTTGTCTAATTTTATTCCTATGATCAATTACCAATTAGATTGATTAAAACTTTGTAGACTATTTCAGATTAGTCCAAGTCCAATATAATATTTTTCTATAAATATATACGATTTTTCCCTCCATTTTCAATCATTCTCTTCTTTCTATTAGTATCAAAGAAAAAAATATTTAAGAATCACATTTGCGCTGTTATGATGGATCAACATACTTCATCAAATGGTTTACTTCCAGATCAAACATCTAATGCACCCTCTGAATCCTCTTTTATAGATAATCAGTTAACTGTTTCAACTTCTACAATCAACTTATCATCTTACAATCGCATTGTTCATAAACTTCGAAATAAAAGAAAACTAAGACGCGAAATTAAATATCCATTAAATCATATTAGACGTTTACCAACACAAATCACAAATGATCCATTCGCAAATCCATTTTTTAATGGTTCGCCTTTTTGAAAGAATTACATCGATAATTACATTCTTTTAATATCATCAATCATTCGCTTATTTCATTTTCGTCTTTTATTTCCTTATAATCGTAAATAAATTAAAGATATCGATACCCTTGCTTATTTTTATTTCGCTTATTTTTATTTCAAATTATTTATAATCGTTATTATAATCGTAAATTAAAGATACCTTTCGCTCAAATTATTCAAAATCGTTATTATACTGAAATATGCAAAATCTGTTTATGACAAACTCAAATTTCGTTTGACAACCCAATTCCAAAATTCTTCTAATACACTTTTTTTTTAAAACGAAAACGGTCAGGAATAGTACATAGTATTCATATTAGCATTTGTGTGATAATTTTATATTTATTTCATCAATATTTTCGTAATCTTTCTTTTTATCTATTATTACATTTGTGTCATACAATATTTTACATAATGATTTTTTTTTTTTCAAATAGAAATAGGTCAACTATTAGTTTTTTATCAAAATTTTAAAGGTCAAAAATTTAAAAAATAAATTATTCGTCTCATTACAGTACATCGAAAAGAAAGAACAATGTATAAAAAATTCATGATAAATTTTTATAACTAAAACTAATATTTTTATTTCTTGTTGAGTAAAAAGAAAATACTTGATTCTATCTATATTCTAATTAAAGATTTGAAT